GAATGGCTACTCCATAGGCAGAGAGCAGCAGCACGGGCTGCTTGACTAAGAATACTTATAATTATTTCTTGATTTTATGTGAAACAAGGGGTGGATTATTCATGCCTTCCCTGGAAAGAGGAGGGCGATTCCCATACTGAGGGTTCCTTCCCCTTTTAGACCATATAGAGTAACTTCCTCACATTGCCATGGCATCTGTAAACTGTCAAGGCCTGGTGGGAGTATCTTTTAGCAGGCTAACGCATTATATTTAGCATATAACGAGCAGTGAGGAGAGGTCACTTTAGTCGCCATCTTGGTTTTGATGGGATTTGGCCGGCTTCTTTGCTGCATGCTGTTTTATCAGCAAGGTCTTTGTGACCTATAACTTGTGTTGACCTCCTATCTCATCCTGTGATTAAGAATGCCTAACCTTCTGGGAATGCAGCCCAGTAGGTCTCAGACTTATTTTACCCAGCCCTATTCAAGGAGTTGCTCTGGTTCAAATGCCTCTGACAACTGCACTCTCCATTCAGTAGCCTGAGTAATCTGTTTTTCTAATTAACGCGTGACTTACATAAAGTACACAAATCTTAAGTATATGAATTCTAGATATACACCCATGTAACCGCCACTCACATCAGGATACTAAATAATCCTTTTTAAAATTTTATTTCAAGTCATGACATTTCTCTGCTTTAAATCATTCCACACTTTCCCAATCCCCTTGAGACAAAATCCAAACACCTCCTAAACCTGGTTACACAGTCTCACATGATCCAGCCCCTATCTCTCAGGATTCATCCTGTACCACCCTTCCCTCCCCTGCCCTCACCATATTGCAGCAATCCCATCTGCGCATCCTGTCTTCTCCTAAACCTCTTCAGAAGACATTCCCAGTGCTGGCAGCTTATAATTTAGATCTCCGTCTGAATGTCACTTCCTCAGAGGTCTCCTCTGACAGGCAATCTAAAGTTGCACCCAATCACTTTTCATTACACCATCTTGTTTTAAGTACTCACAGAATACTTGTTGTAATATTTTATTTATTAGTTGCTTATATATCTGTCCTTCCCCCACTAGAATATAACCCCTTTTGGGACAGTTCTATTCCATGTTGTACCCACAAATGTCTGTGCCTGGCACACGGTGAGCAACAAAAATTTTCATTGAATGAATGAAATGGAACATCAGCTAGGGGAAGCATGAATAGCCCTAGTCTCAGAAATCCTGAAGGCCTAAATTTGACTAAACCTAGTCAGTAAATTGGAGCATTAAATGAGGTAAAAGCCCATGGGAATTAAGTCTTCAGCATTTGTTACCTTCTTATTCCGTCTGAACATGCCTCATTAAAGCCATTCTTACACAAGACGCTCGATTTGTTTTGCTTTTACAAAAAGTAATTTGAAAACAAACTCTGGCCGGGAGCAGTGACTCACGCCTGTAATCCCGGCACTGTGGGAGGCCACGGAGGGAGGAATGTTTGAGCCCAGGAGTTCGAGACCAGTCCGGGCGACATAGGGGAGATACAGCGCCCCCCCAACGCCCGCCACTCTGTCTCCACACAAAAACTTTTTTTTAATTAGCTGGTCCTGGAGGCGCTCGCCTGTGGTCCCAGCTGCTCGGGAGGCTGAAGTGGAAGGACCGCTTGAGCCCCGGAGGTTGAGGCTGCCGTGAACCGAGATCGCGCCACTACACTCCAGATTGGGCGACAGGGCGAGACCCTGTCTCAAAAAATAAAAAAAAATAAAAATAAACAGTAATATCTGATGTGGCTTTTAAAAACTAGGCCGGTCGCGGTGGCTCACGCCTGTAATTCCAGCATTTTGGGAGGCCGAGGCGGTGGACAGCCTGAGGTCAGGAGTTCAAGACCAGCATGGCCAACATGGTGAAATACCGTTTCTACTAAAAATACAAAAAACTAGCAGCGAATAGTGGCGGGCGCCTGTAATCCCAGCTACTCCGGAGGCTGAGGCAGGAGAATCGCTTGAACCTGAGAGGCGGGGGTTGCAGTGAGCCGAGGTCGCGCGCGCCATTGCACTCCAGCCTGAGCAACAAGAGCGAAACTCCGTCTCAAAAAAAAAAGTACGTTAAACTCAGACTCTTCCCTTTCAGAACATCCATTTCGCCACACCCATCACCGGCTCCGTGCAGAGTAAGCGGAACCAGCAGCGAAGCCCCACCCTTCCCGTCACTCTTCCGGCAGGAAGTCTATGCATCACGAGGCCGGCCAGGGCTCAACCCCAGCCCCGCGCCCGCGTGTAGCCCTACGTAAAGCGTGAGGGGTTTCGCGACAACCCAGGCCCCACCCCTTTGGCCACATGTCGCGCATGTCTTCCCGTCGGAAGCCGTGCCACTTCGCCGCGCAGCTTTACGAACCTAGAGCAGCGCCGCCCCGCCTCCTGTCTCCGTCCTCACCTCCCCGCCCCCTCCCAGCTTCGAGACTGCTAGCCCGACGCGCCCGCTATAATCACGTGATTGCCTCATCCGGGTCCTTTGCGTTCTCTTTCCCTCTCCCAACATGGCGGCCTCAGGTGAGCGAGCAGCCGAGCGCGGCCAAGGACTGGGCTCGGAAGCCCCCCTCCGAGCGTGATCCACTGATTTCCTGAAGTCGGGAAACTGCTGGCACCGGTTCCTTTATGAATTGAGGGCTGCGGCAGGCTGGCGGCGTAGCCCTGTTAGGTTACTACCTCGGGATGTTTGGGGGGGAGGGGAAGGACACCTTCCCCTCCCCCTCACACTCTTTTCACCCTTTCTGCGCGAGATTGGAATAGGCAGTAATGGTGGACTCTGGCTTGAATTGGAGAAGGAGGCGCAGAAAGGTGTGCGGGTGGTGCGAGGCCTTTTCGTAGACGTGAAGCACCGTGCCCACGTGAAGGCGTGGAGGAAGGAAGGAGGCGGTTGCTGCGCGGACGAGTGCACATTAGGCTACGTCTCCAAGGCGCGAGGCTGTAGCGGACCGGAGTCGGGGGCAGGGGATTAAGTGTAGGGGGAGCAGTTGGAACGCGAGCGCGAGTCGGTGGAGGGGCGGGGGAAGGCAGTGGTGCGCGTGCGCGGTGGGAGACACGAGGGTAGTGGAGACGGGCGCGCCTTCAGTCCTTGCGCTAGAACCCAGATGGGAAGCTTTTAACGCGCCTGTGTTGCGCTCTTTTTATGTCCTTTTAGGTTGTCTCTTCCCTTTCTAGAGTGTGGCCCTGTGCCTGTATTCTTCCAAGGGTATGTGTGTTAGGCTTGGAGGTTGGTGCTGGTGGGGGTTGGGGAACCCAGTGTGGTGCACCCACGTGTTGAGAAGCACGGGTGTGCACCTGAATTTCCTTCTAGGCTTTTTTCTCATACTCAGTTGGAGGCGTTTTTACTCAGCGCAGCTATATGCAAGGATCAGGTTTCTCTTCTGGCGCTTCCATGTTGGTTGAATTTGGATAGCTCCAATGGTAGATTTCAGCTTTTTTTTTTTTGTTAAGGTAACTGTACAACTACCAGCAGGTACTTTAAGATAGTGCTTACTAGTGGCTGGAGTTGCTTACTTTATGTATTACTAGTTACTGGAGTTGCTTACTTCTTTAGACAACCTTGGAGGTTGCCTTGCAAGTCTACTTACATATCTAATGGGCCTGTAAGAGCAGTGATGACCCAACATCTTGTAGCATTGATTTTAGTTTGGGGAATATAGTTTGTTTTCTCTGGCATGACCTTGCATTCTTGAAAACATTATTTGAACTTCTATCTCTGGGTGCTCATTTCTTACCCGGTAATTCATCATCTCTGTTACAAAGAAGCTAAGGGTTATGGTTGGCTTTGGAAAATGTTGAGAAATTTGAGGTGCGTTTGAAGATCTTTCATTGGTGTAACACTTGACAGTTGACCAAGCACTTTTGTGCATTGTTATCTCCTTCGATCCTGAGGTACTGCAGAGAGCTGGTAGTATTTCCCAGCTGAGGAATATTATTTAAGGCCACACTGCTCTCAGCTGGCAGAGCAAGCTCATAATCTTTGAGACTCCTCAGCAACTTAAAAGTATCAAGGTGTCATCATCAGTTTAGGACGCTGCCCTAAAGCATCTGAAGTTTACAAAAATGTTCAAATTTTTTTCTCCAGTGGGCTAGTACAAGTCCTAAATATATTTTAAACTAACCATTGCTTAAAGTACTTACTTGGTCTGGATTTGCCACCTTAACAGTTTAGTATAGTAATTTAGTGAAGAAAATTTGTGTTTTCTTAACTTTTGTTTTTTTTTTTTTAGAGGCAGAAGACGTGCCAGCAATTTATGTCCTTTGTTTTACCAAGTTGAGGGAAATCCAGACTGATTAAAGGGATTTACTCAGTGCCGTCCCATTTTCTTGTTCTTCCATATTTACTCCACTCCCTTGAAAACCCTCATCTCCTTTAATTCACTGCAGTAAATCTTTTTAGCTGGTACTGGTATCTGAGCACAAGTCACGTCTTTCAGTCTGCCCTTGAGGAATCTGGGGTTTATCGGATGGTTTCCCCGCCCCTCTTTTCCAGTCACATTGGCTTTGTGAAGTAACCAGTATTCCCTGATGAGGGAAATGGATGTTATGTATTCTGTGTGAAAATACATAAAACAACTTCATTATGCCTCTTTTACTGTTAAATGAGACCAAAAAATTCTTTGCAGCAATACCAGTTTCCAGTGTGATCCATTATTGACCTTCAAGAACTAAGGTAGGTCTCAGAACTAACTATAGAATGAGGATAGTTTGAATTCCTAGAAACTTGATACATTGAGCCAGTACACTTAATTTCTTGCTTTGCTTCTTAGAAAGAATTCTTCAAGGCCTGGCGCGGTGGCTCACGCCTATAATCCCAGCACTTTGGGAGGCTGAGGCAGGCGGATCACTAGGTCAGGAGTTGGACACCAACCTGACCAACATGGTGAAACTCTGTCTCTACTAAAAATACAAAAATTAGCTGGGTGTGGTGTCGCGTGCCTGTAATCCCAGCTACTCAGGAAGCTGAGGCAGGAGAATCACTTCAACCTGAGAGGCAGAGGTTGCAGTGAATCGAGATTGTGCCACTGCACTCCAGCCTGGGCAAAAGAGCAAGACTCCATCTCAAAAAAAAAAAAAAGTCTTAAAAATACGAAGTTTTTCATTTCTCTTAAATTTTCATTGTGACTACTTTAGTAGACTTGTTACAAGCCAGTTACCTCTTGAATCTCAGTTTCTTTATCTGGAAAGTGGTCATTATTTGTCTGCTCTCCCCTTACCTAGAGGGAATCAGATGTGTTTGATACAGTTTAACATTTAAAACGCTTTCAAATTGAGCAGGTTGCAGTAGCTCATGCCTGTAATCCCAGCACTTTGGGAAGCCGAGGTGGGCAAAACACCTGAGAACAGGAGTTCGAGACCAGCCTGGCCAACATGGTGAAACCCAGTCTCCACTAAAAATACAAAAATTAGCGGGGTGTTGGGCTGGGCACGATGGCTCACGCCTATAATCCAGGAGGCAGAGATTGCAGTAAATGGAGATTGCACCACTGCCCTCCAGCCTGGGTGACAGAGCAAGACTCCATCTCAAAAAAAAAAAAAAAAAAAAAAAATTTAAAATTGGAAATAACATACATAAGCTTATGCACAGGCCTTTCATTTCCATAATGCTTCAAAATGCCATCCTGTGTGACATCTCATTTGATTATTTTTATAGGGAGAAGATGCTCTGCAGTGGTTGTTTTCATACACTGCTAACTCTCACAGTAAAATGGTTTTCAGGGTTGCCATTATATATTGCTTATAGATTACCCAGTTTCAAATTCCATCCTCCATCATGTATATGTTATTCTGGGAGTAAGATACCCAGAAGGCTAAAACTAACTCTTTTTGAAAGTTTAAATACCAATACAGAATACTGTCAGTTAAGATAAAGCAGTGTTTCTAAGTAATGTCACTGAAAAAAGAGGTATGTTTCATCTCAAAACATTCTGGAATTCTCTTTTCATAATGGTAGAGGAAATAACTGATGAGTACAGTATTTTAAGTGCATATTTGTAATTAGATTTGCCTTATGTACATTTATGAGCCAGTTTCTTAAATTTGTAGTAGATACTGCTATGGTCCCAATAGTAGGAAAGTACTCAAATCAAGAAGTTTAATTTGAATTTGTGTAGCTCCTGTCTCCCATTTTGTGTAATGGTTAGTATGGCATGCATTGGGCACTTACTTTGATTATGTAAATGATCAAATTCAGTATCCCTGGAGGGATAAGGAAAAGGTAGTACGGCATCTTTCTTCTTGTGTCAAAATGAAGTAATTGGGCACAGAGAGGTCATGAAACTGAATCTGTACGGGAGTCAAGATGGTGGAGCTTATGAGTTCTGACTTAGTCTTTATCTCTACTATGCTAAACTTACCCAATCCTCAACTAAATCAAAGGGTGGTTTACATTGGGATCTTTTCAACTTTACAATGGGTTTATCTGGATAGTAAATGCTTTTTTTACTTGAGATGGGTTTATCCTGATAGTCTTATCATAAAGTCGGGGAGCATCTATATAGTGCAGTAAAGGTGAAGGTGAAATATTATGATATTACATTGCATGAAATGTCTTTTCATGGCTGGGCTTTAAACACCAATGTAATTAGTCTAATTCTAGACACTCTATTTGGGTAGATTGATTGTGTTTATACAATGTTGTTGATTTAGGGAAACATTTGTTAATCATTAATTCATTATTTAAAGTAGCTTTTTTTGTTGTTTTGTTTTTGTTTTTGTTTTGAGACAGAGTCTCACTCTATGGCTCAGGCTGGAGTACAGTGGCATGGTCTCGGCTCACTGCAATCTCCACCTCCTGGGCTCAAGCAGTTCTTATAGAGATGGAATTTCACCGTGTTAGCCAGGCTGGTCTCGAGCTCATGACCTCAGGTGATCCTCCCACCTTGGCCTCCCAAAGTGCTGGGATTACAGGCATGAGCCACCACGCATGGCCTAAAGTAGCCTTTAATTATGGAGAATTTGGCAGAACTCACTTTTAATAGTAGCTTTATTCAATGTAATTTGTATACCATAAAATTTGCCCTTTTAAAGTATACAGTTTGGACCGTGTGCAGTAGCTCACACCTGTAATCCCAGCACTTTGGGGTGCCAAGGCAGGAGGATCAATCACTTAGGCCCAGGAATTCAAGACCAGCCTAAGTAACATGGTGAGACCACATCTCTACAAAAATTTTTTTAAAAATTAGCCAGGGATGGTGGCATGTACCTGTGGTCCTAGCTACTTGGGAGGCTATGGTGGGAGGATTGCTTAAGCCCTGGAGGTCAAGGCTGTAGTGAGCCATGATCTCACTACTGTACTCCAGCCTGGGTGACACAGCAAGGCCCTGTACAATTTGGTGGGGTTTAGTGTATTCAGAGATGTACAACCATCATTATTATCTAATTTCAGAACCTTTTTATCACCCCCAAAGAAAAGTCCTTTGTATAGGACTAACATTTCCTTTTCATTTATCTTTTTATTCATTGAAGTGAAACATCACTTAGAACATGGTTCTCAACTAAGGGACAGTGTTTCATCCCAAACC